GACCATGAGGCCCCGATAAAAGGCGTTCAGGCTGTCTTTTGCCGAGGAGGAAGCAAGTTAACTCGCGAGACACTCCTGGGAAGTCTCACGAATGAAGACAGAAGGAGCCGCCGACTTGAAGAGTTCCTCCAATCGAGGAATACTAGACACAATGATAGTGAGCCAAGGTTGCACCGTCGGCTCGAGGGGTTTGCCGATGAATCGTGTATGGAAATGGTGTCCAAAGTTGGCTTCAGTGTTCCCACTGATGGAGAAGATTTCGCCACAATCACGTTTCCCGATGATGCCAGAAGTCAGTTTCCCCAGCAGTGTTCTTACTCTCTTTTGATTGATTTGGCTCTTCATGCCGAGGTCTGCTTCATTGGTGCGTTGCTGCATGTCAAGCCTCGAAACTCAGTCGCCAGTGGCATCATCCAGAGCGGGGACAAGGATGACAAGCCCTTCCATGAAGTCGGGCTTGATGGGAGAGATCAAATTGTAGCAATATCTGACAGTGGGCTTGATGTGGACCATTGCTACTTTTGGGACCCAGATAAGGTGATACCAATGTTCACTGCAGTCCTTTCCGGCATGGATTGCGTTAACACTGGCCATCTTTCAAGTCTGTACCCAGAGACACATCTAAGGTATGTTCATGTTGAACCCCACCACCAATCAACGCAGGCCATACTGAGGTCTAACTGCGTGACTAGACCTTCGATCCATCTCCCCGGAAAGTGGTACAGTACCTTGCTTATGCCGACTCGCAGGACGTCGCGGGTGGCCACGGGACACACGTAGCGGCAACACTTGCTGGGCACAGAGCAGTTGATGGAAGGTCCGAGTCTGATGATGGTGAAAATGGGGTGGCTAAAGCTGCCAAGATCGCTTTTTTTGATATTGGGAATTCTGTCTACAATACTCTGCAACTGCCTCCAAATGTGTTTGACATTTTCTCAACCGGATATGATGTCAATGCCAGAGTGCACACTGCTTCCTGGGGGAGTGATACAAACTATTACACTAGTTTGGATCAAGCCGTGGATGCCTACATCTCAAAGCACCCTGACTTCCTTCTTGTGGTTGCAGCAGGTAAAGGCCATTGACATCATTGCTACCCTGGACCAGGCGAGTACATCGCTAACTTTTGCTCTTTGTTGTCGGATGCTTAGGGAATCTCGGAGACCTCGGCCTTCACACGGTGGGCACCCCGGCAATTAGCAAAAATGCATTGGCAGGTGAGTGAGCAAAGCGTAATGTACATTTGCTGTCCAAAAACGCATGCCTGCGCCTGAACACTTTTTACTGCACTCCCAGTGGGTGCAACAGAATCCACACAGCCACGTATCCCAGTTCACATGAAAGGTCCTGACTATCTAGCAAACTTCTCCAGTAGAGGTCCCACGGCTGACTTGAGAATGAAGCCAGATGTGTGTGCACCAGGAATCTATTTGAAGTCGGCCAAGGCCAATCCTGACGAGGTTGGCGAATGTGATGATACCGATGGACTCGAGCTGCGATCTGGCACAAGCATGGCCGCGCCTGTGGTCGCGGGGGCTGCGACCCTTATTCGGCAGTACTTTATGGAAGGTTGGTTAGCAGAGGGGCGAAGAAACCCGGCAGAGGGCTTCCATCCAAGGGCAAGCCTTCTCAAGGCTGTCCTCATCAATGGTGCTCAGGAACTATTGGGGGTTGAAGATGCACCTAATCTCATCAGCGAGACGCATGCATACGACGCTCATCAAGGGTTTGGTCGAGTGGAATTGATCAAGTCACTCCCCATTGCTGGCAAGAACAACTTCAACGCCAAGGTCGTGAACGCACAGTCCATTGGAAATCATGGGAAGGACGAATATGTCCTCCAAATTGACAAGACGGACAGCTGCAATGAACCCCTCAGTATCACCCTCGTATGGTAAGTAAGGTGGGAAGAGATACAGCGCAAACACGAAATCGAAACGACCTCAACGTCTTGACCATGCACATGCAAGGACCGACCCAATCGTGAGCCCTTTTTGCATGCAGTGTACTGTGAACGACCTCGATTTGTATGTTACCAGCACCAATAATCCCAAGCGAATCTTTCCGAACGGGTTGTCTCAGGCTGACACACTGAACAACGCAGAAAGGATTCGCGTGGACGACCCTCGCGAGGGCGACACGTACACAATCCACGTTGAAGCCAAGGATTTGGTTTCGACACAGGACTACTCTCTTGTTGTCTCGGGGTGCTTTAAAGAGGTTGAAGAAACCGCGATTGTCCCGACCTGCCGAGATTCCGGCGGCGATGTTGTCGTTTCTGACACCGAGGTAGAATCGTGGTACGTACGACATTTTACTCCGCACGCAGCTGTTGCATTTCCAATCTCACTCGTTGATTCGATTCGGCTCCTCCCAAAGCTTCTGGCTGGCAAGGAACTTCGACGACTTCGGTTCCTTATGTGAATTGATCGATGTTGCATCTCGCTGCCAGCAGACTTGCAATTTTTGTGACAAGCTCCTGCTGCCGACAACCTTCGATGGTGAGTGAAATCATGGGTTTCGCCCAACTAACTGGCATCGCTTCTTGATAAGTTCATCACCTCACTTCACTCCCATGCACTGACCACTAGCTCCGGGTCCAAGCCTTTACGCAGAGGTTGGTAACTTTGAAGGCGCCTTCCGCTGGGATGGCATAATGTTTGAAGTTTCAGCAGAAGAAGACTTGCTAATCACTAGCCTGGACATCCATACCTGGCTGTCAACAAACTACACAGTTCAAGTCAAAACGAGAGCCAGCGAAACCGAGGACTGGACAACCGTCTGCGACACAAGAGTCACGGGACAGGGACAAGGGTTGTCAACACGAATCCCGGCTAAAGCTTTCACCCAAGTAGAGGTCGCCGCAGGTCAGCGCCAGACTCTCTATGTTACTCTAGACACGCCGGAACTTGTGATGGAGCCGACTCCATCAGCGAGAGAAGACATCACGTTCAGCAACCCCGAGCTGAAGGTTGGTATGGGCCGCGCTGTCACCTACTCAACAGGCAAGGCGTATCCAGGGTACACTTGGAATGGCAAGGTTCGGTACAAGCTAAAGTCAACGGTGAATGCGGAGCGGCCGCAATGCGACGACAAGGCCGGGGACATCACTATTGATCCGTTTGTGGGTACAAAACCTTGCAGCTGGCTTGCAGAACACATGTATCACTATCGGCATGTCTGCTCTTATGTGGAGCAGTCAACGCATTGCCCCAGAACGTGTGGAGTTTGCTACATTGTTTCCCCGTAGCTGCTTCACTCTTTTTTGATTTTGAGTGCATGGCGAGGGCCCCAGATCGGTAGGAGAGGTCGCGAGTTGCATCGGAGGAACACCATGGAAAGCATACCAGTATTTTACATGTACAGGTAGCACTTTCTCGCAGCTCACAGCCAATGGGCTTGGATTCCAGGCCGGGCATAGTGCAAGGATTGCCTTTGTCCACAGTTTTGAAACGGCCTCAATTGCAGTTCAGCGATGGCAACTTAATTTTAAAAAATGGACCTTTACTATACTTATTTCGTCTACCCCTGTATTCCTTACTGGAGTAGCTGACCCTACCGGTACCGGTGCTAATACATGTATGCCATTGTTGCCCATACCGGTACCAGCACATAGCTTAAGCCGATGCTAGTCGTACCCGGTATCCGGTATCCGGTATCTATAGAACTGCACTACCGTATGCCCCCGCACCTAATGCTATACGGTACCGCAATGCTGTCATTCGCGCCAAGCGGTACTCAGCATCCAATGAAAACTGTCTGAAAAAGTGACGTCGCCAACTTTCGCGGGCAAATCTAACATCGCAAAGTTGCCTGCAAGAAGAGGAAACAGCGATACCACAAGCAACAGACAAAGTAATTGGGAAGGCTGCCCTGTGTGTTGGCGACCATGGCAGCCTCCAAGTTCCCCGACTACCTTCTGCAAGAGGTGAGGACACTGGTATCGACGAGGTGTAGGGAGATCTGTATGTCGGACAAAGCGGATGGAGAAAATACGTCCAGGCAGCAGGCATTAATGGAAGACGTGTTCCATGGTTCGGCTGGATATGCCTCTGTGTTGGACCTTTTCATGCAAGGTGGTGGGGAGTTTGCCTCCATCTTTGACCGTGTCCCAATCGAGAACAACAGAGAAGGAAATGAGTTGCGAACAGGTGGGTATGCACTTGTCATGAAAGACATATTCAGCTGTGATGAAGGTACGTTTCTTATTTTCCTGTTAGTTGTAGAAGTCATGGTTCTGTTCTAATCAATTGCCTGATGGTTACGCGTAAAGGAGCCAGATACATTTTACATGCGAGAGGTTTTACAAAAGATGCTCTTGCGCAGAACAAAACAGAAAGGCTCCTTGGACGGAACATCTATGAGAGGGCTTTGGTTGCCATCGCCAACTACAAGTTCGCGCTCAAGTTCCATGATGAGTACTGTCCAGGGAAAGACCATCCTTATCCCTCTGGAAAGGGACTGGATGACATGCTTCTTTATGTGCGCAGGAAGATGTATGTCATGTTGAAAGGAGCCAAGAACAAAGATGGAGCTAGACGAGTCAAGAAACCTGATGGCTCTTTCGTTGAAGAAGACATGCCAGAGAAATACATGTTTCAGGGTTACTTTGTCTTTGTCCTTTATGGTCCCAAGATGCTCACAACCAAGACACTTAGCTGTCTTTCTGTGGACGGTAAGAAGTGTGCCAAGACAGGGCGAGCTACTGCGAGAGAGAAGGAATTGAAGATTAAGGCAGCTGAACGTGCCGCCAATGAAGGAGCCACTGGACCTTATCACAGAGGTTTGGCAGTCAAAGACAAATATGCTTGCGCAACACTTGCTATGTCAGAGTACAAGATGGCTTCGCGCAACGTACGTGATCTGTTGTTCCACAACAATGCATCGGAAAGCAACTGTCTCACCCAGCTACAGCAGATCAACAGCATGCTGGACAGAGCTGAACAAAGAGGTGACGACAGAGAAGCTAAGCTTCTTGAAGCAAGGAAGGTGAGACTCTTTGACCAGCTGGACCAACTCTCCAAGAGGAAGCGGGAGTTAGAGGATGAAAGCGATCGTCTAATGAAAAGAAACAAGAAGACTCCACAGCTTCGAGCATACTACGAGTCAGTGGGAGTGTTTGCTGTACCCAAAGATGTTGCAGTGACAAGGTCCACAGTGGACGATGGATCTTCCATCACAAACACTGACAAAACTCCACGAAAGATACCCAATCACTGCTCGCAATTGACTTTTTCGCAGCAAGAGGAATTGGAAGCTGAGGATGACACAGAGAAGGAAAATGGTGATGACGACTTGGCATCTATTGTGGAAGTACTTCCACGAGGCAGCAGTCAGGTCTCTGATGAACCGGTTCAGCCTGTTCAGCCACTCTTCACTGGTATGGCTGCAAGACTCCCCCCCGAGCAACAACAGATCTTGCTGCAGTTTCGCGAGAGAGAAGCGGCAGGATTGACTTTCGCTCAGCAGCAAGAAAAGGTTGCAGCGGAAGAAAGACAATACGGAAGGAATGGCTCCAGTCGTATCTCGTACCAGACCGGCAGTACGTACTATGCCAGTGTAGCTCAGAATGATGAGCTTAATTGTGCAACAGCGCACAGCTACTATGGACAAGAAGAGGATGCGTAAACAGAGAAGTAAATATTACAAGAAGACACAGTTAGTTATTAGATATTTTCCTTTCTGGCCATTTCACTCGATGTCTCCTCCACAGAATGTCGAAATGCTCCACCAATCTGTTTCGAAAGTCGTCGTATGAGAGCGAATTGACCAGAATGCTCCCATCAATCGCATATTGCTGGGGTTGTCCCGCCAAATAATCATCGTCTTCATGCAAATCCTCTTCTTCCTGTGCACTTTCTTCTTCCTCTCCTCGCAAGCTGTTCGTGGCACGTCTTCGGGTCTCTTCGTCAATACATTCTCGTTCGTGCTCTCTGCCACCAAAACTACGAAGTTGATTGTCATTCAATCTCTGCAGTGCGAAAGGTGCAAATCTTCTCATGTCGTCAACATCATTTTCGCCCCTTGCACCTTCCCATTCATCCAATAAACCATCTGCCTTGAGAAGCTTGTTATGAAGAGCACAACAAGTCAGCCAGATTCTATCTGCGGCCTCTGGCCCGTCCAAGCGAATGCCAGTTCGCAGAATTCTGAATCGACCTTTGAGGATGCCAAAGGTGCACTCTGCGTCCTTCCGGAATGATTCAATCCACTCGCTGAGGCGCTGTTCTGATCGCAGAAAGCTCATCTTGGCAGGGGCTTGTGTGCAAGCCCATCTGTGATATCCGTTGTCAACAAGACCCCATGCTCCACTGTAATTTGTGTATTCCACTTGTGAGTTGCCGACTTCGCCAGACCAAGAAAACAGGTGAAATTTGACATCTTGCAGTATTCTATTTTCGTGAATGCCGGTAATGAAATCATCGAAGAGCACCAATGTCTTATCATTCCAGCGAGACGGGTGCCCTTTTGTTGTGTGCAGTATTTCTCGACGATGGTTGCATGTCAGATTGTATGTTCTGGCAGGGTGCGATTGTTTAAATCCTGTGTTGGCTTGTTTCAGGTTGTGCGAACATCTCCACATTACAACGTTTGTTGCATCACTGGACCAACCGCATCCATAAAGCCCCCCAATATCGAATTCTTTTCGATGACTCTTCAACTCCTGGGCAGTGCGTGGCATGGTTACGTACAAGGGATAAAGCACTTCTTCGCCAAATTGGATAAATACGTGGAAGAATTGGCGATGAGTCTCTTCGTTTATGGCCGTGTATTCCTCGAGATCGTCAAAGGTAAGTCCTCTGCCAAGGTATCGAAGTGCCCCCAAGACCAATAATTGTAAAGGGGAAGATTCTTTGCCAGTGGCATCCTTAGATCGCCATCGCCGAAACATGTCGTTGCTCTCGGTGGTTTCGAGAAGGTCCAAATATTCTGAGTATGGCAATCGGAACCTCCTTCTGAATTTCTTCATGAATTTGGGGCAATCCAGGGCAGGCGACACCACATACATGAGATACCAAACTGTCTGTTTTGGCACCAAAGTAACTTTATTTCCTTCTGAATCGAAGTAGTACGGCTTGATTGATTTGACCGTTCTGCGTTTCCTTGATGTTGAACTGCCTCTGGTGGCTTTTGTTGTTTCTCCCTCACTGTCGCTGTCTTCCATGTAGAACGACTGTAGCTTGGACTCTTCCAAGTCCTCCTTATCATCTTCTTGGCTCATGTATAAGCGATATTTCTCCAGGTTGATGTTCCCATCATTGTCTATGCAATCACAGAGGCTTATCTCATCTTCTTCCAGTAATGGAAGGTCGTTGTCCACCTCCATTGTCTTCCTATCAATACAACTATTCTTTTTTTGCTGCTACTCTCTCGTCAAAAGATTCCTGCAACACAACATGTTGAGGTCGATTTAACTCTAAAATAGAAGCAATTTAAGGTTTCCTGCTATACCGTAATGCACGAATGGGCTCCCGAAATTTTGGCGAGATTCCGTCAGCAAAAAAATCGCTCGGTGTTTGAGAGGCTGACGTGGTGATTCTGATTGGCTAGGCATCATACCGTATACCGGATACCGGGACGACTAGGATCGGCTTTAGTAGATACTACCTGGTAGTAGCTAACCAGCACCGCCCGAGCCTTTTGCCGCCCCCTCTTCGTCCTTTGGAAGGAGGCTTGGAAAGGTTTTGGAGCAAGTGAGAGTCCTGAGGTCAGTGGCGTCAGTCGACAACGCACTTCCGGAAACGCAAACAACACTTTGCTACGGTAGTGTAGCCAGTTTTGAAGGTCCATTGATGGATCCACACTTGCTTTGAGCTTAGATAACAACAGGACAAGTTGCGGATCATTTGTTGCCTCTGTCAAACTCTATCAGTAGTGTCTTGAGGAGGGAGTCTCTGGTCGGCTATAGAATGATGAACATCAAATGCTTGTTCCTCCTAGTAGGGATCTTTTCGTCTTTAATCCAAGTACTGGCTTTCTCGACACATCAGGGCGCCACTGTTGCCCGGGCGCCTTCTCACAAGCTCCCCAACACGTATAGTAGGCTGTCAAGGGACCCAAGATGTCGACAGATCCGGCTGAGTTCCCGTCAGAGCCTTGGCAGGCTCAGCCACAGTGATCCTCGCCAACATAACGAAGAGATTCGTCGACATCCATCTCAATGGCCAGTGAAGGTCAGAAGGACTTGGGGGATTGCAAGTGACAGATTTCGACACGTCCTTAGGAAGATGGTACAGTGGCAGACCAAGAGAGGCAAGAGCATAATTGCAGCTCTGGCATTCGCTCTTTCCATGCTATTGGTTTCTTCCCATCAAATCGATGCCTACAATGGTGGCGGTCAGCCCGACAGCCAATTTGTTGCCAGCAACAATCGCCCAGGCATTGAAATTGTTCAGGCATCTCGGTCGGGTCACATCAGCAACAGTGTGCACTCAGTGGCCAGCACTGGTACCCAAGAAACTAGCTTGCAACTACCTCGAGGAGGAGGAGGCAAAGCTGCCACTGCGGAAGAAGTTCTGGTTTCAGCACAAAGGCAGACAAAAAAGACCTTCAAAGAAGCATTCAAGGACTTGGCTACCTACATGCATGGGCCGAAATCAGATACTCTGCTTCTGTTGTTAGCCACGGCCTTGATCACCCCTGTTTGCAAGCGCATGGGGACGTCCCCTATTCTGGGATTCTTAGCTTCAGGGATGTTGCTTGGGCCCAATGGTTTCGGGCTAATTAGTGGAATCCACACAACCGAGACTTTGGCAGAATTGGGGATAGTTTTCTTCCTCTTTGAGATGGGAATTGAACTGAGCTTTGAACGTCTCCTGAGCATGCGAAAAGACGTCTTTGGTTTGGGATTCGGACAATTCAGTTGCACTGCTCTTGCTGTGGCTGGAATAGGCAAACTGTTCGGGCTCCCAGCCAATGCTCTGGTTGTATTAGGCGGAGGCTTGGCGCTGTCCAGTTCTGCATTTGTATTACAGCTACTGAAAGACAAGGATCAGTTGGCCACTCGATTTGGCAAAGCCGCTTTTGGTGTTCTCCTATTTCAGGATCTTGCTGTAGTGCCACTTCTGGTTGTGACTCCCATCCTTGCTGGAAGTGGTCAAGGGTTGGCATCAGCTGTGGGAAGTGCTGTGATAAAAGCAGCTATGGCTCTCGGGGCTATTGCATTTGCGGGGCGCGTTATCCTGAATCCACTCTTCAAAACTGTGGCGTCGGCGCAATCTCAGGAAGCCTTCCTAGGGTTGATTCTGCTCACGGTCCTTAGCATGTCCTTCATGACGGAGGGATTGGGTCTAAGCAACACATTGGGGGCATTCCTCGCCGGTGTTCTCCTCTCGGAGACAAAATACAGGTACCAGGTGGAAGCAGACATCGCGCCGTTCCGAGGCATACTGCTAGGTTTGTTCTTTGTTACAGTGGGATTTGAAATCGATCTTGGATTGATCGCCTCCAATCTGCCGCTTGTGGGGTCTATTGTCATGGGTATCATTCTAATCAAGGCCCTCGTAACGACTCTCTTGTCCATGGCATTTGGATTGAGTCTGTCAACGTCGCAGCAGACAGGCCTAATCCTCGCTCAGGGCGGAGAATTTGCTTTCGTGGCGTTTGGTCTGGCTCGAAGTCTGGGTATCCTTGACGTACCAACGACCAAGCTCATGCTCACCAGTGTGAGTTTGACCATGGCGCTGACGCCAGCTCTTGCTTCTCTCGGAAGTAAAGTTGCGAAGACTCTTGAGGAAAAAAGCGACTTCACGCACTATCTCGGTCAGGATCGTGACGCCAGTGAAATCAAGGAGAGCGACGATTTTGCAGTAGTTGTTGGATACGGCGCTGTGGGCAAGGTGAGTGATTTGGCTGGATGGGTGCTCGTTGCAAGTCGTTGTAGCTTGATTCAAATGCCCATGTTGCTAACTTGATGGCAGGTTGTGTGCGAGCTGTTGGACCGAAAGCTGATCAAGTATGTTGGTTTGGAGATTGATCCGAATAAGGCCATCCAGGCCCGAAACAAAGGACTGCCCGTGTTCTATGGTGATATCGGCAGACAGGAGGTTGCAGAAGCCTTCAACGTTGGGAAAGCCAAAGCAGTCGTTGTTTGCATTGCTGACAAGGCTATGGCTAATCGTGCCGTTATTGCTCTACGACGATGGTATCCTGACCTGAAAATCTTTGCTCGAGCTGTGGATGCAGATCACGCAAGTCGGTTGCAGAAGACTCTCGATGTAGCTGCGATGGTCCCAATTCTACCAGAGGATAACTTGTTGTTGACACTCCCGTTTGCCGGTGCCGTGCTGAAGGCCCTGGGTGCCCCAGCAGAAGAAGTGAACGCCATTTTAGAAGTCAAACGTAAGGAAGTTCTCAGCGGAAAGACTCTGGAACAGGACGAGGAACAGATGGCTTTGCTACAGCTGGGTATTGACCCCGACGAGAAAAAAGAGAAAGAGGACCCTAGAATTGATATTGAACCTGTGAGTGGACCGGCTGATGACGAGGAAGAAGACACGTTTTTGCAAACCATAGAGGCAGCTGCTGAACGAGTTGAGGCATCAAAAGAAAAGAGCCCCTTTGTGGCACAAGTGATAGAAGAGGTGTGCCCTGAGAGTGTCACTTTTGCTCCGGAGGAACCACTTGATTTGCCGGTTTTGAGCGAACCCGCCCCACTCGAGATTATTGATGTTCAAATAGAGCCAATGAATGGAGACAACTCACCGATCTCCAATACAACCGATCCCCCCAAGGTTGCATCCACCCCCAAAGAAGAATAGAAGTGGTTTACCGGCTAGCGAACAAAACTTGGCTACTAAGTACTAACATATGTCTTTATCTTTTTTGAAATTCGAGCACCACCAAAAAAAGCTGCGTACCGTACTTTATGCTCAAGGCTAGCTCATTCGCAGTTGATAGTCACCGTTGGCAGTGATGTAGCGCACCCAGGGCAGTGCAGCGTAACCACTTCTTTCAATGATCTTCAAATACCGGACCTGTATCCCACTGACTGTGAAGTAAGGAATCTCAAACTGCACACGAATGGGAGCCTTCCAAGAGTTTTCACCCTTCTTTTTGGCCTCTGGGTCGACGTCACTTGCGGTGATAGAAGGAAGACCAAAATGTGCACGCATGAGGTATTCTCTTCCTCCATGGAACTGTTTGATATTCCACACAATATGATCCTTGTCTGGAAGATATGTAACAGAACCAACACTTGACTTGAAGGAAGGACTGTCAACATCAGGAGGGACAGGGATGATGATTTCCACATTGTTGGCCACACTCCTAGATTTGAACTGGGATCTGGTTTTGATCATGTATTCTATGCGTGATCCTTTGTGAGGTTCCACCACTGCTTCGACCCAAATGAGAGGTTTGACATGAGTGTTCAAGCGATATGTCATGAGATCAAATTCTCCATCAGGAGGAATGAATGAAATGGTTCTGTCATTTTCAAACCTGGCCAACCGGACACATTGGTGAAATTTGATATCTTCCAATTCAACAGCTTTTCCTCGTGCCTGATTGGATTTTCCAGTAGCCTCAAACATGAGTTTGTCATTCAACCCCAATTTCAATTCTGGCATCCCAGAGAGGAATGATTTCATTTTGACAGCTCCATTGATTTCCGAGTGCAGTACAGTTCCATTGGCAGCGACCAGTAAATTGAGTTTTTCAACGACATCCAAGAAGATTTCATTTTTCTTGTGTCGAATGCCCTCGGCTCTCCAGGAGACAGCATTGGTGAGCGCGACTGGTGGTTTGGACTTGGAGTCTTCCGCCATGCGATTAGCCCCCTGGGTAATGAAGGAGCGTAGAATAGTGGAATCCAGAGCCTGTGGCAGACCATGATCCATGGTCTCGTCGAGAAGTTCATAAATGATAACGAAATTGTCTCGAATGGATTCCTCTTCCAAAGAGCCAAAATAGTCTTTGAAGACTTGGCCCAAGCGGAAAAGAAAGGTCAATATCAATGCCACATTGGAATTTCGGGTTGTCACTGCACACATGTATAGGTTGTTTTGCTGCATTTCATTTCATGTCGTGTTGTTGGATTATCAAATAATTTGAATGCGATTTGTCGGGTCAAAAATAGTAAGAAGCGTAAATTATTAGAACAGCATGGCGGCAACACAACCAAGACAACTCCAAGGCCAGCATTTCACTTTATCAACACTCCAACGACACTCAGAAACTTACAGCAACATAGACAAATGTCTGACCACCTGGTCCTGCCATTCCAACATCATCCCCTGACTCAAAGTCTCCATTGACATCCACATGAAAGATTGGCTTTCTTGACTCCTCTTCCACATCATTGAGGTACTTGGAAAACAATTCAATCGCCTTGGAAATGGGAAAATCACCACGATAGTTCCGGCTGATAATGGACTTGCCCTGCAAGTCGGTAATGAAAACTCCAGAGGCTACCATGGTCGAGATGTCTGCCCGGATAGTAACAACGGCAACGGAAGTGGCATTGCTTTGGTTGTTGGTCGAGCAATGACCTCGAAACCATTGCAAGCGATCTTTGAACGGCACGCTCACTTTCAGGGCGCACACTTTTCCTCCTCGTTTCCTTCTCTTGAGTGTAAACCAACTCTGCTGCTTTGCCACCACTTCCGCGAGAAGGAGCGAAGCGAAGCGTCAACACGAAGCCCAACGTGAAGGAGAAGCCCAAAAGATCGCGGTGGAATCGAATCCCAAAATTGAAGCAACGCCATCAAGCCATCAATCAACCAACCAACAACACTCTGAGTGAGTGTCATAGACCACCAAGAGAGATAAGCATTCTGATAAGAAGCACTCTGAAACACAACAATTAATTATTCATAAAACTACGACCATGACAGTTGCCCAACAACTCTTATGCAAGGGTAGATCCTCTCTTTCGCGTCATTTTCTGCGAAACCGCCACTTTCTTCGACCGGGGGCGGCCGTGTTTTCTACCTATGAGTCTCCTGAATCTGTCAAAAAGTGGGAAACCTTGGCAGACAAAGAGCTCAGTCGAGCCAAGAATGTCTCGGTCGATACTTTACGAAATGATCGAATTACTCCTGAAGGAATCCAAATTCAGCCTGTCTACTGGGATCTGAACGAAACGGACCCAGAAATGCCAGGTGTATTCCCCTACACTCGTGGCCCCTATGCTTCCATGTACACCCATCGTCCCTGGACCATTCGTCAATATGCTGGATTTTCCAGTGCGGAAGAATCCAATGCGTTCTACAGGGCCAACCTCGCAGCCGGGGTGCAGGGGCTGAGTGTGGCGTTTGATCTACCCACTCATCGTGGATATGATAGTGATCATGGTGAGTGAAGTGAAGTGAAGTGCAATGCAGTGCTGTGCAGTCTGTCCTGTTTGCATCACATAATTATCCTGTTTTTAAAACCTTCTAACTCCTCTCTCGAACTGAACCTTTTTTTGCTTGTTGTCTTGCTCGTCTCAAATACAAATCTACTCAGACCGTGTCACCGGTGATGTTGGAATGGCAGGAGTTCCTGTCGATACACTTCGGGACATGGAAATCCTTTTTGATGGAATTGACTTGACGGATGTATCTGTATCCATGACTATGAATGGTGCTGTCCTTCCCGTCATGGCTTTCTATGTCCAAGCCGCATTGGAACAGAACCCGGATAAGGATCCTGCCGAAATCATGGCTTCACTCAAGGGTACCATCCAAAATGACATTCTCAAGGAATTCATGGTCCGAAACACCTACATTTACCCTCCTGAGCCCAGTATTCGCAGAATCATTGCGGATATCATGGGATTCACGTCGGTTCACATGCCAAAGTTCAACTCGCTTTCCATCTCGGGATACCACATTCAAGAAGCCGGAGCAGATGCTGCATTGGAGCTTGCATTTACCATTGCGGATGGATTGGAGTACATTCGTACCGCAGTGGATGTAGCGGGGCTCGATGTTGACTCTGTAGCTCCCAGGCTCTCGTTCTTTTGGGGGATTGGGATGAATTTCTATACCGAGATTGCCAAGCTGCGGGCTGGGCGAAGGTTGTGGGCTACACTCGTCAAGGAGAAGTTCCAGCCCAAGAAGGAAAAGTCGTTGCTCTTGCGCACTCACTGCCAAACATCTGGATACTCGTTGACCGAAGCGCAGCCACAAAACAATATTATCCGTACAACCATTGAAGCCATGGCTGCTGTCTTGGGAGGAACACAGAGTCTTCACACCAACTCCTACGATGAAGCTTTGGCTCTTCCCACAGTCCAGTCGGCGCGTGTTGCAAGAAACACCCAGTTGATTCTCCAAGAGGAGACTGGTATTTGTGATGTAGCAGATCCGTTGGTACGTGATTGCCTTTCATCAGTGGTGAAAGGCATATGCTGATGAAAAGTATCGACTCAAACCAAATTCTCTTTCTCTCTTGTTTCCTAGGCTGGTAGCTATTTCATTGAGAGCCTGACCGACGAAATAGCTGACAAGGCGTTGGAAATCATCCAAGAAGTGGAAGAGTATGGTGGCATGACCAAGTACATCGACAGTGGAACGGCGAAGATGAGGGTCGAAGAAAGTGCTACCCGAAAGCAGGGAAGGATTGATTCCAAGCAAGAAACAATCGTCGGAGTCAACAAGTACCAGCTGGATGGAGATGCTGCCAAAGAGGAAATGGTAGAGGTGTTACAAATTGACAACGCAAAGGCTCGCAAGACGCAAGTAGCTCGCATGAACGAAGTCAAGGCCAGCAGAGACGAGAATCTGGTTCGGGAAGCACTGGACAAGCTGACGGCAAGTGCTAAGCTTACTACCACTACTAGCCTTGGCGATAACCCCAACAATCTCATGAAGCTAGCGATTGATGCTGCTGCAGTTCGGTAAGTTTTGTGCTCCGATGACTGAAAACAGATCAATTGCTTCGTGCTCGTTGTGCTTACTTTGGAGAGTTTCCTGTTTCATTGTGCTTATAATAGCTGCACCCTCGGCGAGATTTCGGAAGCTCTCGAGGTGGCTTGGGGCCGTCATGTGCCTACCTCTTCCGTCGTCCAAGGTGCCTACAACGCATCCTATAATGCCAAAGGAAGCAGTGCCACAGAGTACGAGACCGTTTTGCAAGAGGTGCAAGCGTTCGAGGACTCTGAGGGAAGGCGACCTCGTATCTTGGTAGCCAAGATCGGTCAGGACGGCCATGACCGCGGAGCAAAGGTTATTGCCAGTGGATTTTCCGACCTGGGCTTTGATGTGGATGTTGGCCCCCTGTTCCAGACCCCTGAGGAGGTTGCGATCCAGGCTATCGACTCTGATGTTCATGTCATTGGTATTTCCTCCCAGGCAGCTGCACACAAGACGTTGCTGCCAGCACTGAAAAAGGAATTGGAGGAGAAGGGAGCCGGGTCGGTCCTTGTTGTTGCCGGTGGGGTCATTCCACCTCAGGACTATGATTTCCTGATGAAAGAAACACAGAGCTGCAGTGCTGTGTTTGGCCCAGGCACTCGTGTCACCGATGCCGCATTGCAAGTGTTGGGACTGATTCCCAGGGAATCCCAAGATGGGCAAAGCACCGCTGCTTAGAGACTGTTTTCGCTCTTTCACAGATCCCTTTTTTGTCGTCATAGAGAGCTGATGTGTGGCTACATTGGTGAGAAAGCCTTCGGCACCACGATGGAACCAATCAGCGACATCCCGTATTTAGAAATATCAAAAATCTATTAATGCATTCCAAGAACAATACACGCCCCTTCCTCACTCTGTAACGTGTGTAATCTCACGAGTATGGCTCTTTTTCTATAACAAGTCCTTACAGTCTCTATTGCGTGTGCATTGGCATTTCCATCCTCCTGGCTAAGCTAGCTAGATGGGCGGATTCACGAAGAGTCAGAGTCCTTGTCATCCTCCTCTTCCTTCGAGTCTGCGCCCTTTTCATCCTCCGATTTCTCTTCACTATCGTCTGTGGTTTCATCTTCTTCCACGACCTCCACAGTCACCACTTCCTCATCATCTTCCATACCAAACTTGTCGAACTCGTCAAAGTACTCTTCGTCCAGATAGTCCTTGACTTCTTCTGCCGATCTAACATACACTCTGAGTTGGTCAACAGAGCCCATTGTCGTTCGGCTAATCCTCAGGTCGTCGTCCAAGTAGGTTGTTTCAAAGGTTCCAGCTTGAAATTCCTTCAACGGTGAGTTGATTCCCAAGACGTCCTTACCTGCAGGGTCAAGGTATTGACTGGTTCCAGCCACATTCACTGCCAGATTTTTCGGAGGTTTAAAGGGTTAGATTGCATGCGTTTCACTACCCGAGGCACAGCTTTGAATTCAAGTCTAGTAGGCCATCCAGGATCAGTCACTTACGAACAATGCTTGCGAGCTTGAGTCGAATGCTGAAACCAGGCCCAGTGTTCGACACATCCGCTTCGTGAACGAGTACTCCCTTGCCCTTGGTAACATCGAGGGGATTAATGGGCAGAGCAGGCAACTTTTCCAAGACTTCTTGCAGATTGTTGGGTGGCTTGTATTCCAAAATGTGATCCACTCGGTTGATTTCTTGGGAATCCTCGGCCAAGATGGATTGTTGGACTACCAGGCACTTGTTGAGTGACTCTCGAAGATCTTTGATGGGGCTAATATTGAAGAATGGAAGTTTGCTGGTATCAACACCACTGCCAATGGGGGAAGGTAGTGCAGAATTCGAGGTTGTTGTGCACACCAGTGTCCAGTCGCCCAACATAGTCTCTTTCACATCATCGTTAAACGACGGCAGTTCAGCTGCAGCTTCCAGATCTGCCACGGCATCGCGCAATTCTTCTTGGCCAGCTTTGTCAATGATAAAGACGCCAAACTTTTCCTTCAATCCATTGGCAACACTTAGAACATTTTCTCGTGGTCCTGCTGTAATGGCCTGTTTGTCCATTGACGGGGCATCTGTATCGTCCAGGGTAGAGAAAAACCGTGTTGATTGTCGTCCGGTTGTATAGGGAAGCACCTGGAAAGGGCTCGCAAGCTGGAGTGCTGATAATGCAAGTAGACTAATTGCGGGCTTCATTGTCGGAAGGAATGCAATAGAGTTAAGACAAAGGGATGATGATTCTTCCTGTTTTATGCTTTTCTCTCCCTGTTTGTTGAGATTGGTGGCATTTCGCTCTTGCTAGCTATTATAGCTCACAAGAATGAATCACAAGGTTTACTCCACATAAGAGTGTACAACTCAGCAAAGAAAAAGGGAAAAGACGTCGCCACCCCCTCTCTGTTCAATGAGCGCGATATCAATAATTGAAGACGGGCATTGCGGCACCCGCTGTAGAAACCCTCCCGCATTGGCATCACTGAGTCAGAATTAAGTTGTATGCGAAATCCGTTAGGATTAGAGCTTCAAAGATCCTTCCAGACAACCCTCAACCAAAAATTGCCTTCTCATCACCAACCTACTAGCTAGAAGTCCCTGTAGCTCTAGCTACTAGCTAGATAGTACCTGTGGCTAATGTATAATGTATAGCTAGCTAACGATGTCAAAAAGTTTGAGCAACTTACAATATACCGTAGTCTTCAGCTGCAGTCTCATCTGAGATCAGGGTTCATCTCAACTCCCCCAGACGGACTCATGAACAGGAGTTACAGAAGATATTCATGTGATGGTGCAGAGAGAGTACCTGTACCGGTAGCCAATTTAAATATATATATTGTTTCCTTGCTTGTTGGAAAAGGTCAAATTTCAAAAGCAGATCTCGCTGCTGGTCGAAGCAAGAGACGAATGCCTGGCAGCACCCCAACTGTAAATTTCCCCCGTCACATCAAATCAAGTGACAACAGCACAATAGCTACCTGAGTCTGTACCGGTACGGATGTACCACTTGGACGATTCAACAACCCCCCACATGATGTTTGCAAGTCTATAGTTTACACTCTTGTAATGTCACGACCGAACAGCTGTCGCTTGGTCCAGTCGTTGAGGACCAGAAGTCGATTTCGCCAAGAAACCTGTTTGCTCAGGTACACACTTCGCCACACCGTATTGCCGATCTTTCCGGTTCCCTTCAACGGTGGAGCATCTGGTGCGGGTGTTACTTGAGCAAGCGCCGATCCGCCCCCAGTGTAAGCAAGGATTCCGAGATCCAAGAATTGGAATGGTTTGGCATATTCTCCGTTAGAGAGAGTGGCCAAATTGGCAACCGTATCTGACAGGGAACTCTTTGTTTCTCCGGTTTTCATTGGGGGTGGCACCACTCCGTCAACCTTGCTCGGCTTCAAATCGTACTGCTTGTTTAACATGTTGGCCAAGTATTCACCTTGCTGGGCTGCAACTTGCGCCGTTGCAGGCAGCTGACCGCGAGTGATGCAAGTGCAGTCGCCGAACGCCAGGATATCGCCATTGCCACCAGCAGCACGCATCCACGGGTCGATAGCCACACGCCCTCTTGCCACATCTTGCTCTTCTGCCTGTTCCTCGCCTAATGCTTCCACAAGTTGCAATGTGATTGGAAGAGGTCCATTTCCAGCAGCCCACACCGCGAGCCCGTACGGTATTTCCTCGCCAGAGTTCAACATGATGGACTTGTCGGTGACCTCCTTAACAGATTGATCCAGCTTCAGTTCGACAAGCTGGAATCGCTCCGGCAGTAGACTACGAACATCCGAGTCACTGATTTCAACAGAACGATTCATCACTCGAATGGCTTCTTCCTGCAGAGCCTTGTCGAATGGCGCCAGCACAGATGAAGCAGCTTCAATTACCTTGATGCGAACGTGCTTCAACAAGTTGGGGTAGTATTTTGGTCCGTCCTCCTCGACAAAATCTCGCAATTCTGCTGCAAATTCGATCCCAGTTGGCCCCGCTCCAATGACAGCAATGGTGAGGTCGTTCTCACGTTGTTCGTCGGTCAGTGACGGCAGATTGGCTCTTTCAAAACAGTTCACAATGGCCGTGCGAATACGCCTGGCATCTTCAACCTGCTTTAGGAAACAGCAGTACTCTCTGACTCCTGGGATTCCAAATGTGTTCGTCTGGGCACCAACAGTCACCACCAAGCGATCATACTCTACGGTGAAATCTTCAATGTCACACGAGTTTCCGTCGCAGACAACAGATTCGCACGTTACAACCTTAGTTTTTGGGTCAATTTCTGTCGCGGTTGCCTCCAAGTAGTTGACTTTGCGATTGATCTGATGTCATTCGCAGTGAAAGAAACCATCATAAAAAGGAGATGTCAGTCAAGGGAGATGAGCAATGCAATCACGCAAGCATTCTGGCCCACATTCTCGTCCAACCCAGCAGTCCCTTACCTCTCTCACTGGCTCTGTGATGGATCTGTATTCGACGGTTCCTACGCTCGCTCCAGCTGTACAGCCAGCCAATGCAACGAAATCAGTTAGAAATGTAGCGGAGTAGAGTAGTGCTTGCAATGATCGCAAGGAAAAGATACTCACCCAGCATTGGAGTGAACAAGAAATAGTTCCGAGGCGAAATCACAGTGACATCATAGAGGCTAGTATCAATACCCTTCAGGAACGAAACAGCGCCCCATCCTGTTCCAAGCACCACAATTTTTTCTCTCTCGGTGCCTTTATATACAAATGCCGATTGACCAGGTAGTATGCCTTCTATGAGTTCAATTCCTTTTTCCGCCAAAAAGAGTGGATACGCTCTACGTTTTGTCAATCGTTCCATACGTCTCTTGAGTCTCTCAGCTTCGTTCTCGCCTTCTGGAATATCTTCTTCCGAGGTAACAACTTCCTCCTCTTCTTCTTGCAACGGCAGCACACCAGGGCCATCACGAATCGCATATTGTTCTTCGTCCTTGATAATGGAGGTTCTTTCCGCGAGCTCTTGTCTCATTTCTTTTTCGGGTTGAGCAAACAAAACTGTGTCTCTCCTCTTGGAAGCATTCTTGCCGTAGAGAGAATCAAAGTATGACATGGGCGTACGGTTCATGGGTGCATCTTTGGCCATCGCTTCTGTTCTATCGCTTGTTCCAACTACTTGCAGTGATTGTCGTTTCAACTGGACCAGTCTCTTGAAATCCTCATTGATTTCTTCCAGCATACCCAAAGTTTCCTTGCTGTTTCGATCATAGTTATTACCAAACTCATCCAATGCATCCGAAACTTTGCCATATGTTGGTTTTAAGGTTGCCTTGCTACCAAAGGGAACAAAGCCCTGGGCGAGGTAGAGGTTGCACACCACCAAGAAGACAGTCTTCATGATGACAAATGCCAAATTTGCAGTGGCATCAAATCTATTATTTGTGCGAAAGCTTGCACTTTTGGCCTCTGAAATCTTCTTCATTGGACCCACCAACGACGAAGGAAAAGCATTGACTGTCGATCGTCAAAGATACCACCACCTATTCATCACATGGAAAGGCCGACGTATTCGATCATTGGCAACGACGACGATGGATTGATCGATGTGAAGGGGTTGGTATCGGATTGGAGGGACTGACGTCAGTGGGAGGGAGACCCGCAAGACTCTCTTGGTTAGGGTTGCCTGGAACTTTCAATGCAGTACTAGTACCGGTACAACGGTACCTATACCGGTACCAGGTCCGCACAGCACACCGTATGCATAGAAAGGAGGACCAGTGCCTTTGTGATGGAGCACCAGAACGGGCCCAATGCACCGAAGGATGCACGCCATTTCCTGGCACCGGTATCCTGGAAGAAATGACGGCAAGGGAGGTTGAATTGAAGGTTCAGATCTATTCTTATTCTGTCTTAAAACTAGTTGGGCATACTGTATTAGCCGTTCTAAACTGGATCGAGGTAAGTTTTAACTTTGCATTGCGGGACGAAGTGCAGTCGAGGCTCTGCAAGCATTTCATCGGTACCGGGTACCTAGTACCTGGTAGTAGCTCTTCAGACCAGCTCGAGGCGCTCAACGCCATCGGGTAGGACAGAATTGGTCACATTCCACGCATAGTCTCGGCTCGTATGGCGAGCCTTTTCACTGTGTGAGTGGCGAATCCGCGAGATCAAATCTTCGACACATCCTGAGGGGGCATTCTTGAGTCGGCGTGTTACTAGCGTCACAGCCAATTCCCGGAAAGGCTCCGAAAGCAGATCTCGGGCATCGTGGGCCTCGTAGTTGCCCGCTTGCTTTACGTCAATATCGTCTCGGACTAGGTCTTTCAGTTGTGCAGCGAACTGGGGATCCTGTCGGAATAGGTACCAGGCTACTGCTCCGTAAGCGGGTGGGAGCGCAATTCTCAAATACCGTTCATCTCGGAGCAAGCGATCATACTTGTCGACAGGATTTCCGCTACCGAATGAATGGGCCACCACGACCGTGAGGAAATCCACCGTCTTTCCCATATCTGCGGAGTATGTGAGGGCGCCACTGCCGACGCAGGAGTATTCCTCTAACACGATGGTCAGCTTCTCGGCTGATGTCACACCGCTCTGACGGTAGCCAAGGGCATTCACTGTTTGCTTGAGATTGCGATTCTTATCGCGAAGATTGCGATTCGTTTGATTCAGATTGTAATTCGTATCGCGAAGATTGCGATTCTCACTGCGAAGATTATAATTGTCTTGCCGAAGATCTTCTTTCTCCTTTTCCAGTTCGAGAATCTTTTCGTCCTGTTCGCAGCGTTCTTTCTCTAAGTCCCTGATCCAGTCTCGATCTTCCACGTGTAGTTTCGAAGCTGTCTGAAGTAAGCTTGAGTTTTGCCTTGACGATTCGTAGTTCAAATAAGCCGCTGCTTCGCGTTGAGTGGGAACTTGTACCTTCATTCGTTTGGATCGCTTCCGAGGGGTGGCTTCGACTGTCGTTCTCGTGGGCTCTTCCATGGTGTCATTCTTGAAGTTATTTCTTCTAGTGATAGTCGGATTTGTGTGTACGTGAGTTGTTGTGAGATTGTGAGATGTGTGTCTGTATGGCTTCTTGAGATTGCTTGCCTGTTTGATGTGAAGGCAAACCATTTCGTTTCTTTTCGTCGTCAAACTTCAATTATAATTTTCAATGTGAAACTTCAATTTTGATTTCAGTTTGACAGCAAAGAAAGCCAGATAATACGGCTGCAACAACAGGATTGACAGTATGGCATCGCGAAGAAGGAGATCTATGATAGGCCGACAGCAACAATACATGTAGTAATGTCATCGTTTGGTTTTCCAAGGAGCTGTGATTATGACAGTCTAAGAAGCCAGTGAAGCTAACAGTCGTACCACAATTGTCCAACAACTTTTACGGTGCGGAAGTCCATCAGAACCACCGAGAAAACGAAAACGAAAACCACCCGAGGCCCAAGCATATTACGGTGTACTGGTACAACGATCACCACAGTGAAATCATGTAATACGATAGCTACAGTGCAGAATGATGAATGAGGTATATTGAATGAATCTATTTTATCGAAGTAAAGTTTTGCTCTTGTCTTTTCCTGCTGCTGCGCAAGCGTTTGGGCATTATTTTGGCATTTGAGCCAATAGGAAGGGATCTCTCTGGTACCGGTATGACTGGCCATGGTAGTCAACGAAAGTCAGTACTGGCCCGAGTTTAGTGGGAATAAGAGACGAGAGATGCATGGAACCCTTCTAAAAGGAATCATCACGGTGACAGTTTTATACGGCAGGTGCAGAACCAGGTGCATTGAATTAATGAATCTATAATTTATGGCATGAAACTTCCTAAAGTTTTGCTATTTTCTTTGTACTATGTACTACTCAAGTTGCGCTCTTTGTCTTTGCAATACTCAAGCTTCTTTGGTGTTTTGGAATCTCCCGCCGTCCTTTATTCTTCCTCAAACTCTTAGCTTAGACGTTGGTACGATTTGAGATTACTCGCATCTGAGATTCTACATTTCTGCTGGCCTTAAAAAGTCTATGCTTATCGTCTTCACGCGAGTAGTATTCATTCAGAAGATTGATGCATGCGTCATTGAATGTGCTCTCGCTCCAATGCTCAAGGTCTCGTTCTCTCTTGAGCGCAGCGTAGCAGACACGAACAATCGTATCGTCGTGAGAGCTATAACTCCAGTCTGACGCTGAGTATCCCGGGGAGTAGGCTGAAACGTTCTCAACATCGTCTTCGTCATCTGCGCCAGCATCAGCGTCGATGCTCGGGGAGGACAGACTGCTCGTAGAGGATCGACGCGTTGGAGAATAAGGAGCGTCTGGGTCGCCGTGTCGCCGCCAGTACGCCTCCTCATCAATTCTTTCTAGCTTTGCCTTTTCAATTTCCACTGCGAACTCATGCTCGTCGCTGTCCAATCCTCCTTGTAGCGCACTAGCGACAACCCAGTTACGTGGTCGTTTTGAGTCTTCCTCATCCTGAATAACGACAGAGATGTCCACTTCGACAGACTCCTGTTGTGCATCATCGTCAAGATCACACAAGTACTCCCAATCTCGACATTTGCGCTTTCTGTTACTACCAGTCATCGTCGGAACAGGAAGTCCATGCTGAATTAATACGCGGACGAGAGGCAAGCTGTCGTCGTTGTTGTTGTCCTCCTTGGAGCTTCGGGTCGACGCCGCAGTGACGTCGGTATCATATTCATTGTAGTATTGCGAGTCTGATCGGCTTCGAGCAGATGCATCGTCTCTACTGCCCGTTCCGCTTGTTGATGCACCCAAAGAGT